GTATATACATTACGCATCTGGTGAGTGCGTATTCTTACCCCACTGATTTGAAGCACCATCACTGAAGTATTATTGCTGCTATTGCACTGAAACCTACACAAATTGTCACTTGTGGATTGTTACAACCTCCATTTGGAGTTCAACATATGTTCATTTATCTGGACTTTTTATTATTTTTTACCATATATATTCTTAGCGCTGCACTTATTTATTGCTATAGAAAAGAATTTTCGTGGCCAGGCCTGTGCCTGCTGCCACCTAAAGCCTGGTACACACTATACGTTTTTTTTTTTCGTTCAACCCACCTGACAGATCGCTGTACTTAAGCTGGGTACGCACTATAAGAAAATCGGGGGAACAATTGTCTGGTTTTCCTCGATGTTTCACAAAAAGTCGAATTCAAGGACAGTAGTAATTGTGCGAAAATTCTCGAACAACAAAGGCTGTTTTTTGGTTCACATAGAAACATTGTAGTGTATATTATTGTTTATTGTTTCTGGTCATGCGCAGGCATTCGTATCGGATTTTTCTGTATACACATTAACCGCCCTATAGCAGAAAAACTGCTACAGGGCAGCACGGGTGCGCAAAATCACAGATATATATATATATATACACATACAGTTGCAAGAAAAAGTATGTGTATGTGAACCCCTTGGGATTACATGGAGTTTTGCATGAATTGGGCATAAAATGTGCTCTGAACGTCATCTAAGTCACAACAATAGAAGAACACAGTCTGCTAAACATAATACTACACAAACATTAGATGTTGCCATGGTTTAATTGCACATAACATGTAAACATTCACAGTGCAGGGAGGAAAAAGTATGTGAACCTTTGGACTTAATAACTGGTTGACCCTCCTTTGGCAGCAATAACCTCAACCAAACGTTTCCTGTAGTTGCAGATCAGACCTGCACAACGATCTGGAGTAATTTTGGACCACTCCTCTTCACAAAACTGTTTCAGTGTAGCAATATCTTGGGATGTCTGGTGTGAATCGCTCTCTTAAGGTCATGCCACAGCATTTCAATCGGGTTGAGGTCAGGACTCTGACTGGGCCACTCCAGAAGGCGTATTCTGTGCTGTTGCAGCCATTGTTTTGTTGAATTACTTGTATGCTTTGGGTCATTGTCCTGTTGCATCACCCATCCTCTGCAGAGCTTCAGTTGGTGGACAGATGGTCGTACGTTTTTCCTGGAAAATGTCTTGATAAACTCTGGAATTCATTTTCCCATCAATGACAACAATCCATCCAGGCCCTGAGGCAGCAAAGCAGCCCCAAACCATGATGCTCCCTCCTCCATGTTTTACAGTGGGGATGAGGTTTTGATGTTGGTGTGCTGTGCCTTTTTTTCTCCACACATAGTGTTTGTGTGTTCTTCCCAAACAACTCAATCTTGGTTTCATCTGTCCACAGTATATTTTGCCAGCAGTGCTGTGGAACATCCAGGTGCTCTTTTGCAAACTTCAAACGTGCTGCAATATTCTTTTTGGACAGCAATGGCTTCCTCCGTGGTGTCCTCCCATGTACTCCATTCTTGTTTAATGTTTTCCTTATTGTAGATGTGTCAACAAAAATGTTAGCATGTGCCAGAGATTTCTGTAGGTCTTTAGCTGACACTCTGGGATTCTTCTTTACCTCATGCAGCATTCTGCACTGTGCTCTTGCAGTCATTTTTACAGGACGACCACGCCTAGGGAGAGTAGCAACAGTGCTAAACTTTCTCCATTTGTAGACAGTCTGTCTTACCGTGGACACATGAACATCAAGGCTTTTGGAGATACTTTTGTAACCCTTTCCAGCTTCATGCAAGTCAACAATTCTCGATCGTAGGTCTTCTGAGAGCTCTTTTCTGCGAGGCATGGTTCACATCAGACAGTGCTTCTTGAAACCAGTAAACCCAAAACAGGTGTGTGTTTTTTTAAGGGCAGGACAGCTGTCAGCAACACATCCAATATCATCACACTGATTGGAGTCAAGGTTGGCTCACTCCTGGCTAATTAGCTCTGGGAGAAGTCATTAAGCTAGGGCCTCACATACTTTTTCCTCCCTGCACTGTGAATGTTTACATGTTATGTGCAATTAAACCATGGCAACATCTAATGTTTGTGTAGTATTATGTTCAGCAGACTGTGTTCTTCTATTGTTGTGACTTAGATGACGTTCAGAGCACATTTTATGCCCAATTCATGCAAAACTCCACGTAATCCCAAGGGGTTCACATACTTTTTCTTGCAAATATATATATAATATATATATATATATATATATATATATATATATATATATATACATACATACATACACACACAAGATTTTGCATTTCCGGGTAGGGAAAGCATGCGAGCCACGCACGTGCCCTACCCGCGGTGCCATCCGTGGACAAAGCGGCTGTCAATCACCGGGTCCCGGCCGGTGATTACCCGCTGGAGCCCAGTGATTACTGAGCATCTCCGATGGGGAGGACGACTGTTTTGTTTTACTAACAGTTCTCCTCCCTGTCAGCTCCAGCACACTGCTTTGGAGAGCAGTGTGATTACAGTAAAGCACCGCCCCCTAGTAAAACACTCCCTACACACAGTTAACCCTTTGATCGCCTCTCATTGTTAACCCCTTCATACCCAGTGTCATTAGTAGGGTCACTGCTGCTTTTTTTTTTTTTTTTTAACACTGATCACTGTAGTTGTGTCACTGGGGATGTCAGCGGCAGACATTCTGACACCAAGTCAGCTCCCCCTTCCCCAGTGTCAGAATGTCTGCCGCAGTCCCGCTATAAGTAAAAAAAATTAAATTCCAGTATCTATACCGCCGTTTGTAGACGCTATAACTGTCACTTAAACCAATTAATTTCACGTATCTGGATTATTTTTTTTTAGCAAAGACACGAAGCAGAATACATTTTGGCCTAAATTTATGAAGAAATTTTTTTTTTTTTTTTTACTGGACATATTTTATAGGAAAAAGTAAAAAAATATTGGGTTTTTTTTTTTCAAAATTGTCAGTCTTTTTTGGTTTATAGCGCAAAAACTTAAAACCACAGAGGTGATCAAATACCACCAAAAGAAAGCTTCATTTGTGGGAAAAAAAAGGATGTAAATTTAATTTGGGTGCATGTTGCATGACCGCGCAATTGTCAGTTAAAGTAACGCAGCGCTGTATCACAAAAGATGGCCTGGTCGGGAAGGGTGAGGAATATTCTGGAGGGTGAGGGGTTAAAAAAATGGTTAGTTCTGTTGGCGAACAGGAAAAAATCTGGAGTTTGTCCCTTCGGAAATTTTCATTTGCATAGTGTGAATCAGACGTGAAAAGTTGTGCGCACACTATATGAACATCGGACGATCGTTCCTCGTAAAACAACTGATGTTAGTACAGCAATCTCCTCGCTGGGTGATTGTGTTTTGACAGGGGGGGCACCAGAACACATTTATCATGATATTAATTAGTACACCCCCCTGCTCTCTCCTCTATGGAAATATAATATATCACGATATTAGTACACCCCCCAGCTCTCTCCTCTGTGGAAATATAATATATCACAATATTAGTACACCCCCCCCAGCTTCTCCTCTATGTAAATATAATATATCACGATATTAGTACACCCCCCCCCCCCCCCCCCCGCTCTCTCCTCTGTGGATAATATATCACGATATTAGTACACCCCCCAGCTCTCTCCTCTGTGGAAATATAATATATCACAATATTAGTACAGTACCCCCCCAGCTCTCTCCTCTGTGGAAATATAATATATCACGATATTAGTACACCCCCCAGCTCTCTCCTCTGTGGAAATATAATATATCACAATATTAGTACACCCCCCAGCTCTCTCCTCTGTGGAAATATAATATATCATGATATTAGTACACCCCACAGCTCTCTCCTCTGTGGAAAATATAATATATCACGATATTAGTACACCCCCAGCTCTCTCCTTTGTGGAAATATAATATATCACAATATTAGTACACCCCCAGCTCTCTCCTTTGTGGAAATATAATATATCACGATATTAGTACACCCCCAGCTCTCACCTCTATGGAAATATATCATGATATTAGTACACCCCCCAGCTTTCTCCTCTGTGGAAATATAATATATCACGATATCAGTACACCCCCCAGCTCTCTCCTCTGTGGAAATATAATATATTACGATATTAATACACCTCCTGCTCTCTCCTTTGTGGAAAATATAATGTCATGATATTCGTACACCCCCCAGCTCACTCCTCTGTGGAAATATAATATACAATATTAGCACACCCTCCAGCACTCACCCAGCTCTCTCTTCCCTCTCAGTTTTGACACTCCAACGTCTTTTTCTTTAAACCCGCCTGTAGGGCCGCCGTTCGACGTCATTTTTACGAGCCGCCCGCCGCTAACAACTTTACCATGGCAACCCGCGCCGCCATCTTTGTACACCTTTTGCGCTCTCCCTTCACCTTCCCCCACCGGGATACCTAGGTATTAGAAAACCATAAAGCAAAGACGACAGGATAAAATCCGTGTTCCAGCCTTCCGGGGTTTTTTTTTTTTCATCTATTCTAATCAGTTCTGTTGAAGCTAGACACTGATCGCCATGTTTACTGCTGGCTATTCCCTGATAGGTCTCGGGAAGTGTAGGCTAGCAATACACCCAGCGCCATCTTTACTGCTGGCTATTCCCTGATAGGTCTCGGGAAGTGTAGGCTAGCAATACACCCAGCGCCATCTTTACTGCTGGCTATTCACTGATAGCTCTCTGGGGGTGTAGGCTAGCTACAAACTCAGGCCATCTTTACTATTGGCTATTACCTGATAGGTCTCGGGACCTGTAGGTTAGTTACATCCCCAGCGCCATCGTTGTTATTGGCCATTCCCTGATAGTTTGGGAAGTGTAGGCTAGTCACACCCCCAGCGCCTTCCTTACTATTGGCTATTCCCTGATAGGACGCAGAAGGTGTAGGCTAGATACCCAGCGCCATCTTTACTATTGGCGATTCCCTGATAGGTTGCAGGAAGTGGAGGGAGTCACGTGGGAGTGCGTCTTGTCCACGGAAGACCTGAGAGTGTGGAGGGTGAGCTGCCTGGTAGTGTGTTTGGTGACATATCAATGTTCCTGTTAGTTGCTGTGTGCCCCATTCATGGTCAGTGTTATTTCCTGAAGTGTGTTTATTTCCATCTCAGCTCCATGTGTCATGTCTGATGTGTGGGAATCATTGAAGGCCACTGCACTGTATCTGGGGGCCACTCATTAATGGCATTATTTAGGACCTGATGTAGCATGTGCTGTATTTGCGCTCCCTCTGTACCCCCCCCCCCCCCCCGTGTATTGGGGATCAATGAAAGAAGAGAAAGCATTGAAGTGCATTGAGCAGACAGCTCCCCCCCCTGTGATCTGCTTGGGACAGCTTACCCTGTACAGATACCTAGGGAAACCATGAACAATAGATATGGGAAACCATGGCAACCAGCCAGACAAGAGAGATCATAGTAACCTACAACATGGTACATGGGGAAACCATAGTGACCAGTGAGACTATACATGGGAAAACCATGGAGACCAACTAGATGTGACATGGGAAAACATGGAGACCAACTAGATGTGACATGGGAAAACCATGGAGACCAACTAGATGTGACATGGGAAAACCATGGAGACCAACTAGATGTGACATGGGAAAACCATGGAGACCAACTAGATGTGACATGGGAAAACCATGGAGACCAACTAGATGTGACATGGGAAAACCATGGAGACCAACTAGATGTGACACGGGAAAACCATGGAGACCAACTAGATGTGACATAGAAAACCGTGGTGACCAACTAGATGTGACATGGGAAAACCATGGTGACCAACTAGATGTGACATGGGAAAACATGTGACATGGGAAAACCATGGTGACCAACTAGATGTGACATGGGATAACCATGGTGACCAACTAGATGTGACATGGGAAAACCATGGTGACCAACTAGATGTGACATAGAAAACCGTGGTGACCAACTAGACGTTGCATAGAAAACTGTGGTGACCAACTAGACATTGCATGGAAAACCGTGGTGACCAACTAGACATTGCATGGAAAACCGTGGTGACCAACTAGACATTGCATGGGAAACCGTGGTGACCAACTAGACATTGCATGGGAAACCGTGGTGACCAACTAGACATTGCATGGGAAACCGTGGTGACCAACTAGACATTGCATGGGAAACCGTGGTGACCAACTAGACATTGCATGGGAAACCGTGGTGACCAACTAGACATTGCATGGGAAACCGTGGTGACCAACTAGACATTGCATGGGAAACCGTGGTGACCAACTAGACATTGCATGGGAAACCGTGGTGACCAACTAGACATTGCATGGGAAACCGTGGTGACCAACTAGACATTGCATGGGAAACCGTGGTGACCAACTAGACATTGCATGGGAAACCGTGGTGGCCAACTAGACATGACATGGGAAACCGTGGTGGCCAACTAGACATGACATGGGAAACCGTGGTGGCCAACTAGACATGACATGGGAAACCATGGTGGCCAACTAGACATGACATGGGAAACCATGGTGGCCAACTAGACATGACATGGGAAACCATGGTGGCCAACTAGACATGACATGGGAAACCATGGTGGCCAACTAGATATGACCTGGGAAACCATGGTGGCCAACTAGATATGACCTGGGAAACCAAGGTGACCAACTAAACGTGACCTGGGAAACCATGATGACCAACTAAACATGACATGGGAAACCCCATGATGACCAACTAGACGTGACAAGGGAAACCATAGTTACCAACTAGACATGACATGGAAAACCATGGTGACCAACTAGACATAACATTGGAATCCATAGTGACTGACTAAACATGACATTGGAAATCATGGTGACCAACTAGGCATGGCAACCTGAAAAGTTGTGGGGAAATGTGATGACCAGTGAAATGAGATGAAACGCGAGGAAACCATGGTAAGCAGTGAGATTAGATATAGGTAACCATGACTGACGAGGCATGGGAAATGATGGTGACTGACAAGATGATGCATTGGAAAGCTTTGTGACCAGCGAGACAAGACATTGTCAACCATGATGACCTGTGAGATGAGATATAGGGAACCATAGTGACTGATGGGACAAAACATTGGAAACCATAGCGACCTATGAGACAGAACATAGAAAATCATGGCAGCCAAAAATTCATGGGAAACTTTGGTCACCAACAAGATGAGAAATTGGAAATCATGGCAACCAATAAGACATGCTAAAACATGATCCCTAGCTGGCCAAGACATGAAAACCATGGTGACCAATAAGATGAAACATATGAAGCCATGGTGGCTGGTGAGACAAAACATAGGAAACCATGGCAACCAAAAAGACATGAGAAACCAAGGTGGCCAGTGAGAGAGGACAAAGGAAACTGTAAAGACCAGCAAGACGAGATGTAGGATGCTATAGTGACTGATGAGATGAGACCTGGGAAACCATGGTGACTGGCGAGAAAAGATATGGGAAACCACAGCAACTGATGAGACATGAGAAACCATGGCAACCGACGAGACATGGGAAACAATAGCTTCTGGCAAAAAAAAGACATGGGGACAGATAGTTAACCAACAAAATGAGACCTAGTAAGCCATGGTGAAATGAGACCTAGGAATACCATTGTGACCAGCAGTAGGAGGCATGGAAAGCCATGGTGACAGCTGGCAGGTAAATGAGACCCTTGTTACTTTAGAAGAGGTACTGTACATATTTGAAACGTTCCAGCATAGCTGCTCCTCAGCCACCATAGGTATTCAAATCTACCCCCAATGCACATAGTGGTTTTCTCCTCCATCTTGTATGTCATTACAGGTGGTAAGAGCCAGCAGGAGGAACCACTTCGGAAAACAGGTGTCCAACCTTTCTGATTGATCAGATACTTGCAATAGCCAGAGAACAGCATTGCGGCAGCATTTAAAGTGAACCTGTTAGTCAGCATTTAAAAGTAAAAGCCCCATTAAAGCACAGACACCAAAGGCTGTGTTCCATTGCACTTATTGGCCAGAAAATCTTTTCTATATGTTCCTCTGAAACTAATGTCATCCCTCAGCATGGCTGCCTGATAGGAGGAAGCTTCCAGTTACCGTCACTCATCTAGAGATGGAGCAGTGTGTATAATACAGCATGATGCCTTAGTATTACTACATTGTTTTATTATACAGTGTTTATATGGTGGTTTGCTCAGCGCTGTACATTATAGTGGGGGACAGTACATGAGACAATACGGTAACAAAGCAATACACAAGGGGTTTGAGGGCCCTGCTCTTTCGAGCTTACAATCTAGGAGGTTTTAGCTTTGCTTATTTTTATTAACTGATGTGTCTTCACTTTTCCCTCCTGATTCCCCTTCCCTGCCAGATGACTATTCACAACTTGTACGTGTTTGACCGGAATGGCATCTGTCTTCACTACAGCGAGTGGAACCGCCGGAAACAGGCCGGCATATCCAAAGATGAGGTGGAGTCATAGGGGTCTTTTTTTTTTTTGTCTCTTATGCTGTGATTCTATATCTCCTCCGTCTCCTACCTCTTTATCCCTTATCTCACTCTGTCTCTCCTCCCTCTTCTATCAATGTCCATCTCTTCTCTCAATCTCTGCTCTTGCCCTCTGTCCCTCCTTTCACTCTCTACCTCTGATCTCACTCTCTCTTTTTTCTCTCTGATCACTCTGTCTCTCCTCTCCCTCCTCCCTTTTACTGTCTCTTCTCCCTCTCCTCTCACTCTCTGTCCCGGCTCTCTCTGCTCCCACTTTCTCACTCATGGTCTCTTGCTGTCTCTTATCTGTCTTTCTCCCACTCTCTCTTTCTCTTCCCTCTCCTATCACTTTGTCCCTCCTCTCACTCTGTCTCTCCTTCCTCTCTTATCACTCTGTCTCTCCTCTCTCTTCTCTCTCTCCTATCAATCTCCATCTCTTCTCTCGATCAGTGTCACTGCTCTCTGTCCCTTCTTCCTCACTGTCTCTTTTGTCTCCTATCATCTCTGCCTCTGCCCTCACTCTCTCTCCGCCCTCGCTCTGTTTCCACCTTTGCCCTCTGTCCTGCCCTTGCTCTCTGTCTCCACCCTTGCTCTCTGTCTCCCCTCTGCATCTCTTTTTTCTCTGTTTATCCGTTTTAGTCTCAGTCTCTCCTCTCACTGTCTGTCTCTCCTTTTGCTTACTGTCTATTTTCTTTTCCATCTCTCTGTCTCCCCTCTTTGTCCTCCTGCTTTCTGTCTCTTCTCCCTATTCTATTAATCTCTGTACCCCCTCTCGGTCTGCTCTTGCTCTCTTTCCTTTCATGCTATGTGTCTTTCTTGCTTCTTCACTACCTCCCTGTATGTGATCTTGCACTCTGTCCCTGCCCCCGCGCTCTCTGTCCCTGCCCCCGCGCTCTCTATCCCTGCCCCCCGCGCTCTCTGTCCCTGCCCCCGCGCTCTCTGTCCCTGCCCCCGCTCATCTCTGTCTGTCCTCCTCCCACTTATTGTCTCCTCTCCCTCTTCTGGTAATCCCTGTCTCTCCTCTCAGTCTGTGCTTTCATTTGCTATCTTTCTTTTCACTATATGGGGTTTATTTACTAAAAATGGAGAGTGCAATATCTGGTGCATCTGTGCATGGTAGCCAACCTGCTTCTAACCTCATCTTTTTAAATTAAGGTTTGACCAAAAAAAACCTGGAATCTGATTGGTTTCTATGCAGAGCTGCACCAGATTTTGCACCTTCCAGTTTTAGTAAACCAACCCCTATGACTCTGACTGTCTCCTTGTTGCCTCTTGCTGGCTGTCTGTATCTGCTCCCGCTCTTTTCTTTCTGCTCATGCTCTTTGTATCTTGCTGGCTCTTCTCTTCCTTCTCTCTCCTTTGTTCTCTCTTTCCTTTGTCTCTGCTCCCACGTTCTCTCTTCATGACTCTTCTTTTCCTCCTCTGTGTTTGCTCTTTTTGTATTATTGCCTGTCTCTCCTCCCACTCTCCCTCTACTCTTGCACTCTCTATCCCTTCTTATTTTTTCTTGTTGTTTTGTCTTTTCTCTGTTTTTCACTTTCTATTTTTGTATGTTCTTTCTTTCTCTACCTTCTCTTTCTGTTTTCTTTCTATTCTCCTCATCTCCTGGACCCATCCTCCCCTCTTCTCTGCACTGAATCCTCTCTAATATCTTTTCTCTTCGTCTTATAGGAGTTCAAGCTCATGTACGGCATGTTGTTTTCCATACGCTCGTTCGTCAGTAAAATGAGCCCGGTGGACATGTATCCTTTACTAAGATCTTTGTTGTAGATGAATCTGCTGGAGAGACAACACGGTTGAGTAGACGGCTCTGGACTGGATGTTTAGAAAGTCCAACATTTTCCATATGGTCTACTGTGCACCTCCTGTGGCCATTGCACACTGCTGTCTACTTTTATGTGTATGTGTAACGGATCCGACCCAGTCTGCTCTTGGGTACGTCCGTTAGGATACCGCTTTCCCCGTCTGAACACCGACCACAGACACCACAGCAGACCGTACAAGACTAGACGACACCAGTCTTGAAGTAAACCAGAGGTAGACTAGTTTATTTGAACACAGATACAAGATATATACACTCAGGGGACAATACCCCCTCCCTGCATAATGACACAGGGCGGGGCAATCTACATTTAGTAACAAGAGACACACCAACAGACAGTCCCATCAGGAGGGCGGGCTGCCGGAGACCCACCCCCCCCCCCACCAAGCCAATACACATAAACACATACATCCCTTAAAAGTTTGCTCCCATGCAAGACGCACAATAGGACAATGGGATGCAACCACATGGCATTAAACAATCAACAACCCCCCACCCCAATATTAGGACAGATCACCCTGTATCCCTAACAGGCACAGGGTGACTTACACATAATAGGGATATGGGGGGCTGAGACAAGTGTCTCCCCACCTCTCCAAAGTGAGCTGAGTTCCATGGGCCCCCCATTCAAAGTGACTCCCATCACAGTATGGTAACAGTGGATAAACGTTTTTTTAAAGGATAACTCTACTTTCATATAAAGTACAGTTATCCTTTTTGCTGCGCTCCCTCTGATCAAAAGTAACTCGCCTTCCACTGTCCAAGATGCCTACATACTTCTATCTTACAGCTTAGACCTGCTGCAATCCTCACATCCTGTGGCTGCCATCTTTTTGGCAATGGTCATGCCTGTGCAGTGTTTTTCCATAGACTTCTATGGGGCCATCTCCCTAAACAGAGGCTGTTCACAGCTTGTATGTTCATATCCTCACTGATAGGTAGTAAGGCTCCATGTACACTGCAGCTGATAAACTCACGTTTAGGAGATTTTCTGCATTTATTTTTTCAGCAGCCCCTGAACTCTTCCTAATGTTTTCCTATATGTCCATGTACACATCGTCGTTTACAGGCAGTTGAGTTTAACTACCTGCTGACCGCAGATAGCCGAATGATGGCTGCATTGCGGCCGGCCAGTTCTGGGTGGACGTCATATGACGTCCTCCCAGAACGCGCTCTCCTGCGCGCCCCAGGGGGCGCGCACCCGGCGATCTCCATGATCGCTGTGTCCTACGGACACAGCTGATCACGTGTTGTGGTAAAAGGCCAATCACAGCGGCCTTTTACCACGTGATCAGCGGTGTCCAATGACACGCTGATCAGAGGAAAATGCAAGTGCCGGTTCTCGGCTGCACTTTCCTCACGCTGTCAGATCGAGAGGAAAGTACTGCCGAAAACCGGCAGTTGTCAGAGCGGGGATCAGCACCGATCATCAGGGCACTGATGATCAGTGCCCTGATGATCAGTGCCCAGCAGTGCCACCCGCAAGCTCCGCCCACCTGTGCCCAGCAGTGCGCCCACTAGCTCCGCCCACCTGTGCCCAGCAGTGCGCCCACTAGCTCCGCCCACCTGTGCCCAGCAGTGCACCCACCTGTGCCACTCTGCAGTGCACCCACCTGTGCACCAGAACCTGTGCCCAAAGTGCCACCCACCTGTGCCCACCCACCAGTGCCACCCACCAGTGATGCCAGTCAGTGCCACCAGTCAGTGCCCAGGAGTTGTGCCAGTCAGTGCCCAGTGCAGTGATGCCAGTCAGTGCCGTCTATCAGTACCCATCATCAGTGTCACCTATCAGTGCTGCATATTAGTGCCGCCTATCCGTGACACCTCATTAGTGCTGTCTATCAGTGCCGCCTATCCGTGCCACCTCATTAGTGCTGCCTATCAGTGCCCTTTAGTGCTGCCTATCAGTGCCCATCAGTGCCGCCTATCAGTGCCGCCTATCAGTGCTGCCTCATCAACGCACATCAGTGAAGGAGAAAAATTACCTGTTTGAAAAATTTTATAATAGAAACAAAGAAACTTTTTTTTTTTTTTTTTCAAATTTTTTGGGCTTTTTTTATTTATAGCGCAAAAAGTAAAGTGCCCAGTGGCGATTAAATACCACCAAACAAAAACTCTATTTGTGAGGAAAAAAAAATGATCAAAATTTCATATGGGTACAATGTTGCATGACCGCGCAATTGTCAATCAAAGTGCGGCAGCGCTGAAAGCTGAAAATTGGCCTGGTAAATAAGGGGGTATAAGTGCCCGGTAGGCAAGGGGTTAAAGTCGTTTTTTTTGAACGCACCAAACTTGCATTCAGGAGTAGATTTTATCAGCGTTTCAAACACCGAATGTTTGTAAACGCAGCTAACCGCGTATATAAGCGTTTGCGGTTGGAAATTTTTTTTAACTCTTCCATTTCCAGATGCTGTCCAGAGCCTTTTTTCATCATGAAAAATGCATGCAAAGCATTTTCCCGGTACTCCAATGGACCCGGTACATACACACTTTGAGGTTTCACATGAAAGAAAATATGTTAGACACGGCTGCAATAATTTCTGCACAGAAATGAGCCGGAACATCCAAACACCACAAAAAAAAAAAAAACACAGCTAATCTCAACACATACTGCTCTCTCTGCTTCTGCTCTCTCTATTTCTCTCAAAATGTCTGAAATAGTTAATTTGTAACTGTTTTTCAGTGCATTCTGGGCATGTTGGAAGGTCTTATCTTTAACCATTTCCCTCCCGGCCTATGGCCGAATGGCGGCCGGCAAAAACCCTCACCTTTCCGGGTGGGCGCCATATCGAACATGCGCAGTTTGCGCACCTGCAGAGCCGCGCAGCGGCGCGATCTGTCTCCGGCCGTGTACCTCGGGCACACCTCGGATGACAGATCTGAGTACCGGCCCTGTTGTGATCAATCACCGCAGGTCACATGACAGTTGCATAAAATGGATGGCTTCATTCATGCCATCCATTGTATACTAGTGTGTCTAGCTGTGAATGGTCACAGTGATCACATGCACAAGCTGGGCCAATCACAGCCCAGCTGTGTCATGTGATTAGCCATGGCCAAATCACAGCTAAGCACAAAAAATAAATCGATGCCATTCAGGTAAATGCTTGCTTATAGCAAAATAATTCTTTGCTATAAGCAAATTGTGTAAAAAAAAAAAAAAAAAAAAAAATACTTATCACTTCCCCAAAGTAGTACAATGTTACTATGGTAACATTGTACTACTTTGGTCATAGTGAAATATGAAAAAAATCTTTAAAAAAAGTAAATTAAAAATAATAAAAATTTAAAAAAATTATATATTTTTTTTTTCATGCTGTCACCAGTCAGTGTCCCTGATCACTGCCATGCCAGTTATATGATGATGCTGTACTGCACTGGTGACAATATGTAAAAAAAAAAAAAAAAAAAAAAAAAATTGTGAAAAATAATTTTTTTCATTTTCCGAAAAATTTATGACAAAAAAAATACAACTTCAAAAAACTCGCCATGCCTCTTATGAAGTACTTTGGACTGTCTACTCTGCAAAAAGGGGTCATTTGGGGGGTCATTTGGGGGGATATATGTACTGTCCTGACATTTGGGGGATATCTGTACTGTTCCTGACACTTGGGGGATATCTGTACTGTTCTGACATTTGGGGGATATCTGTACTGTCCTGACATTTGGGGGATATCTGTACCGTCCTGACATTTGGGGGATATCTGTAGTGTCCTGACATTTGGGGGATATCTGTACGTTCTGACATTTGGCGGATATATGTACTGTCCTGACATTTGGGGGATATCTGTACCGTCCTGACATTTGGGGGATATCTGTACCGTCCTGACATTTGGGGGATATCTGTACCGTTCTGACATTTGGGGGATATCTGTACCGTTCTGACATTTGGGGGATATCTGTACCGTTCTGACATTTGGGGGATATCTGTACCGTTCTGACATTTGGGGGATATCTGTACCGTTCTGACATTTGGGGGATATCTGTACCGTTCTGACATTTGGGGGATATCTGTACCGTCCTGACATTTGGGGGATATCTGTACTGTCCTGACATTTGGGGGATATCTGTACTGTTCTGACATTTGGGGGATATCTGTACCTTCCTGACATTTGGGGGATATCTGTCCTGTTCTGACATTTGGGGGATATCTGTACTGTCCTGACATTTGGGGGATATCTGTACCTTCCTGACATTTGGGGGATATCTGTACTGTTCTGACATTCTTGGACCTCAAGAAATTAGATTGGCCGTCAGTACTTCAGGATTGATCAATTTTCAGATCTATACCATAGTTTGTGAACTCTATAACTTTCCTACAAACTAAATAATACATCCTAATTTGGGTTATTTTCACCAAAGACATGTAGCAGAATACATCTCGGCCTAAATTTATGAAGAACAATTATTTATTTGCAACTTTTATAACAGAAACAAAGAAAAACGTGTTTGTTTTTTCAAAATTTTCAGTCTTTTTTTGTTAATTTAGCAAAAAATAAAAACCCTGGCGGTGATTAAATACCACCAAAAGAAAGCTCTAGTTGTGTGAAGAAAATGATAAAATTTTAGTTTGGGTACAATGTTGTATGACCGCGCAATTGTCATTCAAAGTGTGAGAGCGCTGAAATCTGAAAAATGGCCTGGGCAGGAAGGGGGTAAAAGTGCCCGGTATGGAAGAGGTTAAAAATTGCTTCTAACACAAACGCTCATAAACGCGTTATGCAAACGTGGCTAAACAGACGTTTTTTAACCTTTCGTTTTTTTTTAGCAGTCGGAAGTGTTTTCCAAACATCCCGTGTACATGGAGCCTAAGAGGGAATCAGACAGCGGCTCCAACCCTTTTCTATTTTATGTAAAGCAAAATAAAAAGTTTAAACAGAAAAAGCATCACTCTACAGCAATACTACATAAGGGAGCAAA